AAATGTGCAAAATAATTCAGTAAATACACCCACAGAGCTCCTGGACACCTGGACACCTGGTGTGGACCGTGAATAAGGACGTTTTATTGTCCCGGAAGTAAAGAATGAAACAAGGATTCATCCTCCAGAATTTGTTTTGATTTTTAGTTTCACAAATTCAGAATTTAAATGCAATTAGAAGATGTTTACAGCAAATTAGGTTTCTGTTAAAACAGGATTTAAGTGTGTTCGCTGAAGTCATATCAGTAATCACACGAAAACTAATACTAGAGTCACATTCTTGCCTTGAACCAATATATTCATGTTTTCTAACTCATTCTGGTCACTGCTGATCCACACATTCATGTTTCTGCACATATTTTTTTCCAATAAACTGCACAGAATGTCAATTTTCCAAAAACTAGCTCACACTTCATGAAATGGCTGCAAGGTTTTAAAGAAATCTAATTAATTTCAGCTTTTAAGGATCAAAACTCAACGTGCTGACTTGCTTTGACGTAATAATGTTGTTTTAAATTACACCAACTTAACATTGTGAGTAGTTTAAACTGAACTCTTCATTTACTTAAAACATTCAGATTGTAGTGAAATAACTAAATTGGTTTGTGGTCTCATTTCAAGTCCTTAAAAACTTTTTAAATGCACATTTATGCTCCCAGTTATAAGGTTTTAGAGTTCCTCGTGTGCACAAATAATAAAATATAATTATTTGAACACATTCACAGGCGACATGAGAAAACTGACGTACATGTATTTATTTATTTATTTTCTGCAATATTTTCAAACTAAACTGTAATTTTCAGACAGTCATTGTTGCCGTTAATCACTCACTAACGATGATTTTAAATCAAGTTTAATTATATAGAATGTTTTAAAACAGCCTGAGTTGTAATAAAGAGCTGCACGAGTTAAAAAAAATAAAAATATGTGCAACAAAGCAAAACAGAAAACAGAATAAAACCTGCAAAACAAATATAAAATACTAAAAAAAAAAAAAACAAGAGACACAGAAACTTGGAGGGTCAAATTCTAAAATAAAGTAAATATAAAATACTAGAATATTACATCAATGTGTGTCCCTGAATAATAACAATAATAATAATAATAATAATAATAATAATAATAATAATAATAAAGTAGAAGTAAATATGAGACAGAGTATGTGTTAGTCAGAAATAACAAATCCAGTCAGTTGTGTGTAAAATATTGTGTACAGATCTAATCTGAGTCTGAATTATTCTAAATGAATTTATTCATTCGTCCTGTTGCTCAGGAGCCCAGCAGACGAGCATCACAGAGCAGCGATTCCTCCACAATAAATAAAACACAGCATTCATTTAGCAGCTCCATCAGGCTGTAAGGATTTATTCAGCTGCAGCGTCATGAAGCTTTTCCTGCTTCAAAGAGCTGCTGGTTCAGGCTTACAGTCGAGTCATTAAACCAACGCTGTGAGCACCAACAGCTTTAACCGTCTCTAGCTGGATTATTTTAACTAAACAGGAGAACAGCACTGACGGCGTGTTTAAAGGGAACCAGACGCTTGTTAGAGTTCTGCAGGTTTCATATTAAACATCCAAAGAAAAGCCCGAACCTGTGCAGATGCAGGTGTGGAGCAAACCCAGAACAGAGCTCATCTCTTTAAAAGAACAGCGAGATACTTTCAGGCATATTTCCGTACAGTTAAAAGGGAAACTCCTTACTGTGCTGTCAGTGAGTTTCAGGCACTTCTTGCCTTTTATCGCCTGCGAGGGAGTCCTGGTTGTAAGGATGAAGTTGAACCAACGGCTGCATCAAACGGCCGTGTGATTTTAGAGGATAAAGGTGTGAACGAGGCAGGTTCAGTCGGGAGAGAACAAGAGGATACCTAAAGCAGAGGAATATTTAGCAGGAGCCAGAAAACGTAGAAAGAAAACTAAGAAAAACGGAAACAAAGGGAGCTGTGGATAGTTCTCTGTTCTGTCAGATGTTCACCTTCCTCTGTTCAGGCTGTGAATCAGTGCTGTTCATGTGTACGTATATATAAATACAGCTGAACTGAACAGAGAGAACATGAACAAAGGGCAGAACCGGGCCGCTAATTACTACCAATACAAACAGAAGAGCTCAGACCTGGGACCCCGGAGACACGCTGAGGCTGCAGCAGCCACAAACTCACCTCTACTGTCAGCTGGTTCCGAGACTCAGCGATCCGATTAAAACCCGACAATGGTCCACGTCTCTGCAGCCACAAGACCCAAACATGGTGATCTGGAACTCTGGAGGAACCAAACCAGAACAAACCTCACCGCTACCTGGTCCTAAACATGGAAGTGAAGCTGCAGAACATGTTGATCCTGAACGAACAGACTCAGTGGGTCGAGCTGCAGAGAAAGAAAAGAAGTCGCAGCTAAAACAGAAGAAAGACTCTGGACAGGTAGAGATGGAGACGCAGGTCTTCAGAAAGTATGACTGCATGAGAGAAAAATGCTCAGAAAAGTTCCCAAACTTCATAGAAGCAGACCGGAGAAAACAGGAAGAACATAGCAGGAACATGAAGCTCTATTTCTGCTCTGAGAGTTTTGGATTCAGCCTCAGATTCATCACAACTCTTCACCTCATCGCTGCTCATCATATGAAAACGTTGGCTGGCCTCCTCAAGGATGAGGCGAGACACACTCTGGACTCTGTTTACTGAGAAAACATCCATCCATCATCTCTACACCTTCATCCTCACTATGGGGGGCGGAGCCTATCCCAGCTGACTCAGGGTGAAGGCAGGTTCACCTGGACAGGTAACCAGTCTATCACAGGGCTACACTTAGAGACAGACAACCAAGCACACTCACATTCACACCTACGGACAATTTACAATCACCAATTAACCTCAGCATGTTTCTGGACTGTGGGAGGAAGCCGGAGAACCCGGAGAGAACCCACGCTGCACGGGGAGAACATGGAGACTCCACACAGAAAGATCCCGGGTGTCCTCACCGGGACGTGAACCAGCGACCTTCTAGCTGTGAGGCGCTAACGGTGCTAACCACTGATCCACCTGCATCCCAATTATAAAACCCTGAATGGAAAAATGCCACAACACACAACATCCTCGTTAAATTAGGTAGGTTTATTATTGGGCTTATATTTTTCTTATCGATTTAATAAATTGCGTTTTGTTTTCTATAAATGACACCATCATGCCAATAAAGTGTATAAACTGTGTAATCTTGCACTTTCTCAGGCCAATAATCTGTAAATACTTGTATTACGTTTATCGTTCTCAGAGCATTTTCCTACAGCTTTCACTGCTGTGCACCAGAAGTATCAAAGCAGACGCCACAGACGGGCAGAACAAAGACTTTAATCAGAATTTAGCAGATTAAACAAAGGCAGGAGAGCAAAGTCCAGGGAAACCCAAAGTTCAAGAGAAAACTAGAGTAACCGAGCCAGAGAAAACAAAAAGCCTGATAAACACAAGAAAGAAGAAGTGAAGCTGGAACACATGAGGCAGGTGGACAGGAAGTCGACAGGTAGAAAACACACAGGACGAACAAACCAAGAGGATTTATACACATTTAACTAATGAGGAGACAAGACACAGGTGAATCTAATCAGATCAATCACAAAGAGACAAAGAGAGGAAGTAAAACCACAAGAGACACACAAGGACGGAGATCTTTTCAAAATAAAACAGGAAATAAATGAACAAACTCAGCACAGAACGCCACAGACCAACTTCCTCAGTCTGCAGGGAAAAAAAGAGGCTAAAACATCAAACAATCTGAACAAAAACATCAATATATTTCCAGTATTACTTTCTCATTCATATAAAAAATATCAGCATCGTGCATGTTGTGTTCCTACTTCACTGCCAGTTCCACTTCTTCTTACTTTTCTATTTTGGTCTTGTTTTATCCGACCTATTTACATTTTACTAATATTTCCACACCTTATTGTGTTGTTGCTTTTCTGTTCGTCGCTGCATTTAGTCTCATGTTGTCGTCATGTTTCCCTTCAGGATGATGAAAACCTGCTCGGTCCTGAAACACATTCTGAATCTAAATCTGGAAAACATCCGACACTGACTGAGCATCTACCAGCAATTTACCTGCTGTGATATTCACACAACACACCTTCTACTTTATGCAGTTTGTATGTACACACTGAACTGCACCTTGTATGCACTTTCTGCAGCACTTTGAGACACTAAATATTCACAAATGTTCAGCAACATCAGTTACTGCTTCTATTATTCTTAATAAGACATCTGTACAACAGTAACCTATATCACTGTTTTCAGAGGTTACACCTGTAGATAATCTATTTTTTAAACTTTATTTTCACATGTGCACATTTCTCTCACTGTTGTCTGACTGCATGACTGCATTTGCAACTAGATTTTCTTGCACACTTTGCTCTGCCAATAAAAGAATTTATTATTATAATCAATTTCAGTTCCGTTTGCTTTATTTGCATGATTTGCATGTTCACTATTATTATCTCTATTTAGATCCCGTACTTAGACTTTTTAATACTTGTTTTTATTGTAAATACCAGCAATTTTGCACATTATTTCTTCCACCAGCACGATTTGCACGTTACTTTCGTGTTCTTTTGCGCATTAGTTTCCTTATTTTTCATAAATGCAACATGTGTGAACATGTGTGAGCGACCAGAGACCCTGAATTTCCCCAATAAAGGATAAATAAAGTATCTATCCATCTGTTTATCTACAGCATCAATGAAAACACGAGTTATAATTACAGAGCAAATACAACGTGTGTGATTCACCAAGAAAACAAACAAATGCATGAAAAAACCACAACAAATAAACTAAAACAGCGAGTCTGTGCATTTAACTCTGATCTATTAAATAAGTGTCATGTTTCCCAGGTGACCTGAACGCAGCATCAGGCTCCTCCCAAAAAGAGTGTTAATAAATCCCTGAGTACCGTCTGACAGGTTCAGTTTCCTGATACATCCGGGGACTTTACTGTTGCTACGGTGACCAGATGTGTCTCCTGACAGACTAAACTGAGGATTAATTAATTCTGGACTCTGTGTATTGATCGAAGCGGGTCGAGGACCGTCGCTGCTGCAGCTGATCACACATCAGTCCGAACTCAGGTAAAGCCGCCGCCGTCACCCGCAGACATGCTGGACTCAGGCTTCCTCCTTAAATCTGTCTGTCTGGTTTTCTATCTGACCGCTGCCGCCGGAAGGTGAGCCACGCTCTCAGGTGTTCCTCCACCTGCTCACGTGCTCCGTCCTTCACCTGCTTCAGGTCTGAGTGAAACCGGAACGACGCGATGCTGCTGCCGTTTGTGGCTGTAAAGCGATAAAATCCACTCATTGAAGGGGTTTCGTAAGCTTCCGCATACGTCACAGCTCGGCCTCTCACGTGACCTGCAGGCGCTGTTCCCAGTGAAACCATTAAAATGTAAAAACCAGTGAGTTTAAACGTTTAAACCAGTGAGTTAAATGTTAAACCAGTTTAAACGTTAAAACCAGTGAGTTAAATGTTAAACCAGTTTAATGTTAAACCAGTTTAAACGTTAAAACCAGTGAGTTTAACTGGGAGCTTCACGACCTTCACCTGTTCAGGCTGCAGCTGGTTCTTGTGGATCGATCAACATTAATGATTAGTCAGACAGACCCAGGTGGAGGTTTGGACCTTTGGTACCTGGTTCTGTTCATATGACATCATCCTTTAGACGGTCAGCAGCCAAACAGACTGAGTGACCTGGATTTAGACTGTTGTCATTACAGTGAATTAAAAACAAACAAACAAACAAAAACATGAATCATTTCCAAGCAGCCACCAGATTAAACGAAGATTTTTAATTCCCAGGTTCCACAAACTGCACAAAACCTGCTTTGAGCCTGAACAGGACTGAATCCGTCGTGACGGCGTTAAAGTTGCTTTCTGTGTGATGGTCATTGTTTTGACAGAGAGCATTGTGGGAGTTTAGCAGGATACAGGCGGACGTGGAGGTTAATGAGCTCCAACCAGAACTCATACATGCATGTCTAGAGCAGGTTCTGGGCTGATGGTAAACTGGTTCTGGAGTTGGGTTTCAGACGGGTTTGGACTTTGTTGTAGACAGATTGTGGACCAGACTTGTTTACAGTCTCGTTTTAGACTGCGTTCAGACTGGATTGAGCCGAGCTTTCGGGCTGATTTTAGACTTGTTCTCGACTTGGTTTTTGACTGGAATTAGATTTAGTCTAACCAATAAAAATCTATCAAATGAGAACGCAAAATATTTAAGTCATGCATG